ATCAGCTGTACTAATCCCCCGCCCCCCATGCTCCTGACTCCCACTGCTGAGGTCTGCCACCTGGTCAGGACACTTGGCTTTGGAAGTCACCACGGTCTGTACCTAACACTGCACTGTGGGTAATCCTGAAGGTTAAATGCAGCAATTCCGCAGAATGGGGTGAGCATGGCTGATGACTGTCACACAGGGAAGCCACCACCCGGTTTGTAAAATAAGCATGTGCCTGGGACCTGGCCATCTGGAGCTTCAGCCAGCTGCATGACTCAGGTCCCGAGACTCCTTACACGTACAGTTGGAATAAGTGTGTTTGGGGAGGCCGGAGTGAGGGTCCACAAAGCGGCTGCCTTGAAATGGGGACTCATTGCATTCATCATCGTTGAGGTAATGTCATGAAGTCAAAATTATTTGTTACTTGTAACTTTACTAAAAATCTGACCTTTTTGTTGTTGTTTTGTGGGTTTTTTGTTTTGTTTTTTGCCAGTCTCTGGCTTTCTCTTCCATGTGAGAAACAACAAAGGTTCTGTTTCCCTTCCTCCCTTTTAAAGACAGGGCCTCACCATAAGCTCAGGCTGACCTCAAACTCACCAATCCTCCTGCTTCAGCATCCCAAAATGGGCGCTACCCACTTTGCAAATCAAATACCTCTAAGGACAGGTGAACTCTCATTAAAAAAACAATCTCCCTATGTCTCTGCACAATGAACAGTGGGCCATCTAGTTCCAAAAGCTAAAAGTTACCATAACCTATGATTTCAGCTCTACGCTGCCTCAGTCTCCCAAACTGATTTACCCTTACTAAAAACGTCAGTCCTGGAGGAGAATGTACCTGTGTGTACAAACATTTATTTTTAAAGAATCAGGCCTCTGCTCTTGTTTTACTTTTCTCTGGAATCAGCCAACTCCCAGGTCTGAGTCTTAACTCTTGAGTAATTTGCCTGAGGCTGGGGAGTAGTGAAGGAGAAGGGACGGGCATTCCTGGCGGTGGCCGCTCAAATTCAGGTGGCTCTTAGAAAGAACACGACTGTAAGCTTCTCCTCTTTTTCTTAGGAGTAGGATCGATGGGTGGGGGTAGCGGGAGGGGCGGTCCTATTTTTGCATTCCCAGGCAAGATTCCGCAGGGAAACTTAATCTACATCCATCGTACCCTCTGCAGACACTTTCATTTATGTCAGCAGAGGTTGCCATGCCAACGGCGGTCCTTCCTGAATCATCTTCCTATGATAGCAGGGCTCTACCTTATTACCAATTAAAAGCTCAGAGACTCGTCTGGAGCTTTTCCTTGGACCTGTCTTTTACGGAAAAGACCCATAGGACTCCGTACCCTTCCCTCTGTGTGTGTGTGTGTGTGTGTGTGTGTGTGTGTGTGTGTGTGTGTGTGTGTGTGTGTGTGTGCGTGTGTGTGTGTGTGTGTGTGTGTGGTCCTCCCCCACCCCCACCCCCGCCCTGGTCTCCACCTGTGTGACCTAGCTGCTCCTCCGTCACATGCTGTGTAGGAGTGTCCGTGGTTGGGTTATAATCCCTTATCAAATAAGACAGGAAAACTGGCCATGAGGCCCACCCACACTACCTCTGGCCCTGAGAGTTCCGATGGTGCTGTGGCCTTGGGCCCTGTGACTTGTTGGGCATGGCGAGCGAGCGTAGCTGGGTGGCGGGAGTGCTGAGGGCCTGACCCACCCCCAGCTCTTGGTGTGGAAAGCTGACCTAGCTGGTCCCACAGAGCAGAGCTGTTCCCGCGCCCCCTCCCTCCCCCCCCGCTCTCCCTGGGCCTGCCCTGTTCCTACACAACAAACAGGGCTTTGTTTCTCTTTGGGGCTCACTAATGCACTGGAGAGGACCAGCACTCTAATGGAGCAGAGTGGTTGATGAGTCCAAGTCTCCTTTAGAGACGATGCCGCCAGTGTTCTGCTAAGTCCTGTGTGCTCTGGGAGGGCCAGAGACGGATTTGCTGCAGTCCTGGGTTCAATTCACAGTGTTTGCATATTCCAGAGCCTGAAGAAAAATGGGGACCAAAGAACTGGATAAACTCCACACCCTTTCTGCTGGTGTGCACCGACACTACATTATCTCTTTACATCTATAGAAAACACACAAGGCCCTGACACCACAAAAGACAAAACAAAAAGACACACCTAATGACTGAAAAGATCCACTAAAATGACTTGAAATTCAAGGCATTAAACCTAGACATCTTCTTTTTTAAAACCTAGACATTTTTTATATATCCATTACAAAAAAATGTTTTTTTCAAAAACAGAGCTTTGAAAAACCTGGATTATTCTGGAGGCTGGTACAGATCATGCATGCATCACCAAAGTGGTTTAAATGTTCAAAGACTAGGGTCCAGAATCCCGCCAGAGGCAACAGGTCCTTGCCAAGACTCCCCGGTTATCTCCTGTGAAAAGCCTATTGCTGTTGTGCTGGGGGCCAGATCAGGCTTCTGCTGATTAAATATTCAGTTTTACAGGATGGAGATTAAGTCACCAGCAGTTTTGTGTGTTTGTTTATTCCTTTGTAGAGCAAATAGCTCAAACAGGCAGTGCCTGGAAATGAAGGAATTCCCCACCAGGTAGACCACAGGTTATGTTTAAATGAACTGTGCTCCTGACTGTTTTCAAGGGAGGTGAAAACATGCTCACATTTACTATAGTGTCAGCTGCACCCTTGAAGTTGAAATGGGTGGATTTCTATGTAAAATGCCCCTCAATGATTTATTAGTCACAAGCTCTCAAACTTCCAAACAGAACAGCAGGACTTGCTAGTGATTTTAAAATTTAAGGGCACGCCTAACAGAATTAAAATAAATGATAAAGCCGTGCTTAACGCTTCATAGAACATACATTGTACACCTTCATTCTCAATTCCAGTCCTGTTTTAGAAACTTGCTGAAGGAAACAAATGCTCACCCAAGAGGCAGATTGTTTTTGTGCCTTGGCACCAAGAATTGAAACAAAACAGAGACCAAAGAAGTACTTCATTTGGTGGAGTGTTTGTCTCAAATACTGGAAGCCCTGCGTATATTGGGGTGTGGTGCTGAAGCCCTTGGGAGGGAGTCAGGAGGATCAAAAGTTTCAAGTCATCCTCAGTTACCTTGAGTTAGAAGCTGAGCTACACGAGGCTTTTTGTCAGGCACAAAAGCAAGAATAAAAAGATAACCGAATAAAAATGTCCTTTTGTCTGTCTTGTGCACAGAGAAAGTTGGCATCCAACCACACTATAGGACAGTTTCTTCAACTGAAGAGTGCTTTGTTCTTGAAACCAAGCTCTGACATTCAAGCAAAGGCCCAGGTCTTCTGAAGTCGAGAAGTCTGGACACAAATGCACCACTTACTTTGGCCCCTCCAGACTGAGTGCCAGGTGTGTATACTTTGCCTGTGTGTCACCTGCAGTGGCTTCACTGTGCCCCGGGATCTGCATGAGAGCCAGGCACAGACACATGGTCAGGCCCATTTTGTGTGCTCAGAGCTCTGAAGCATAGATCCTGCTTTCGGGATTTGTTTAACTAGAGACAGAGGTGGATATTTCCTGGGTCTGACTTCTCCTTTAGGGTCTCCTTCAAAGCCTCAGGAGCTGGGCAGTAAGGCTGCAGCTGCATTGCTTGACCCTAATCCCAGTTTGGAAGCTCTCAGTGGAGCCCTTACCTCTCCTGTCTTAGATTCCAAGAGTCACAAAGAGATTCTTGGACTGATGGCCTCATAAGGAGTTTCCTTGATTGAAAATCCTAGCTGTCAAGTCTGGTTTGCCAACTGAGGGTACAGGTCTCAGCTGAGACCTCGGCTTTAAATGTAAAGAATTATTGAGAGCTATTTTTAGAATCTTCATTGCATCTTTATTATAGGCGTACATGGTGTGTGTGCGTGTGTGTGTGTGTGTGTGTGTGTGTGTGTGTGTGTGTGTGTACCTGCCTGCCGTGTCATTCATGTGGAGGTCAGAGGACAACTCTATGGACTTGGTTCTCTCTTTGTACCACATGGGTTGGGGAGGGGGGAACTCAAGTTGTCAGGCTGGGCGGCAAGCACCTTTACCCACTGAACCAGCTGAGCGAGGAGATTTCACGGTAGAATAACACAAAAAGATACAATCTCTTCAGTGTAAACAGAGATTTCAAGCCATCTTCAGAGGAGGATAGGGCCTCTAACAGGTGTGTCAGCTTTATTTCGCTGATGTGACTGATAAGGGCCGGGTTTAAAGCCCTCTGGTGCTCACTGTCATCCTTTGCAGAATGACAGTAGGTCTTATCCCACTGGGTGATGAAGAATTCCAGCTACTTATATAAATGGCAAGTCCAGCTTCCCCTCGCACAGTGTGGGTGCGAGGCTTGGCCCCCAAGGAAGCCCCCTTCCTCTCTGAATAGCCCTTTGTTCTTGACTAAATGTCCGGACGAGCAGGGTCATAAGCCTCCCTTCTGAAGCGTTCCAGTCAACTCACCTAACTAACCTTACTTACCCATCTAAGTCAGAACTGTCGCTACCTCGTTTCCAGACTACATCTATGCAAGAGTTCACCAACTGCCATGTCAGAAGAAAGAACCGTATCAAACGAAATTGTCGTACAAACTTCCTCGTTCTTTTTCTTTTGAAAAAAAAATCCCTTTTATGTGCTGCAGTGTAGCCTTGCTGTTTGTGGAACCAGTGACACACTTGGCTGCCAAGAGGCGGCTCTCGGAACCCTTCAGCCCCACGTTAATAATAAACCAGCACACTATCGAAGAAAGCAGGCTTTTCATTCCCGCTTACACACCCCATTCTGCCTCAGTTGTTAAAGGATGCCCAGAAGTTGCTTTTTGTCTCATTCTCTCAATCTGCTCTCACTTTTAGGAGAAAAAAATAGCATATACTTGCAATGAATTAGCGCCCTTCCCCACAGAAGGAAGCTCCCACAAGTCAATAGCGCGGCCAGGTGAGGGTCAGGGCGGCAGAGGGAGAGACTTACTGAAGATGCCCTCTGATGGACGTGAACGTGGAATGGAGTGACGAGTCACACTCCCTGAAAAGGTGCTCTTACCCCAAGTCCTGGAGCAGCTCTGCTCCTCCATCGGATCGCCCCCACAGCTCTGAGGGGTCCTGGGTACTCATGCTCCCTCCTACAAGTTCTGCTCTGCCCATCCGTCCCCTTGCTGCTGATTGTTGACTCCCTGCCGGGTGCTGTAGGGAGAGGTGGACTTCGGTGCCGGACACACCGCTCCTCAGTAAGATAGGAGCCTGCCGTGGCTGAGGCTGACTAGCTAGGAAGTGAAACTTGGTTGCTCCTCCCACTGACACTGCCACCCTGGGCCTGAGGCACCGGCAGGGCTGTTCTGTCAGTCAGGAAGTGTGCGAACTCCCAGCACCTCTGACACCTCTGACACCCACAGTGCATCACCAAGTCAGCTTTTGCTAAAGCAAACAGAAAGACCACCCACCCAGATTGGACTACTGAAACTCTTTGTAGGACGCCAAACTGTAGCTTCTCCTTGGTCCTGTTTACCTGTAGCTTCTAGAGGAGGCTGCATGTGCACACACACCTCATACAACAGCACAGGGAACACCAAGGAAGCTTGTACATCAGAAACATGTTTTGAGTGGGTTAAACAAAATTAGAGTAAAAATAAAAAAGGAAGGAAGGAAGGAGGGAGGGAGGGAAGGAAAGAAAGAACCCAGGCAGTGGTGGTGCATGCCTTTAACCCAGCACTCCACAGGCAAAGGGAAGTGGATCTGTGAATTTGAAGCCAGCCTGAACTACAGAGTGAGTTCCAGAACAGCCAGGACTACACAGAGAAACCCTGTCTTGAAAATAAAAAATTAGAGTCAAGCAATCACTCCTGCTTGTTCCTAGCTTGTTTTTGGTACTGTCTCAGGATTTCTTTCCAATATCCCTTTGAGGCTTAGGTTGGGGAACTAGGTAGAAGGACTAGGGGCTGAGGCTGTCACACACACACTAAAGCCTTGGGTTCCATCCCCAACACTACATAGAATCCTGTAATCCCCACATTCAGGAGGTAGAGGCAGAAAGATCACAAGTTCAAGGCTACTCTGTATGAGTCCCTGTTTCAGAACAAAACCAAAAGCAAACAAACAAGGGAAAGGATTCAGTGAGAAGGGACAGGAAAGTTGCAGAAAAGCAGGTACCCGAGGGCCACATCAGTGCTCACTGGGCTTCACTGGGCTGATGCATGCTGGAGATGCTGTGGTATCATCTAGACTCTTACACAGGGGAGAATTCCATCTGCCAGTGGAACTAGGGTTCACTGGGGGCTATTCCATTTGGGATCATAAGGAAATTGCTAGAATGAAGACCTGACTGCACAGTAGTCAGAAGCTGATGTCTCCTAAGGAATCTTCCTCTCATCTCTGCTTTCCAGTGGTCCCCGAGGCCCAGGCTTCCTCTGGTTGCCCCTGAGAAGTTCCTCAGTGACCAGAGACACTCTTGGGGAGACTCTGCCCTGATAACACACACACAGCAGAGCATACGCGAGCAGCTACAGTCCTTTTGATTAGAGGGCTTTGCAGAGCGGGAGGGACCAGTGTGTGCTGGGCAGAGGAAGCAGGACAGCCAGTACAACAGATTGCCTCTCCCTTCTTGTAGCCCCCTGTTCAGTGTTTCACTATCTTCTTCACACATTCCAACTTTAGCACATCTGGGCTTTCCATTTTTCATATTTTTGGGGGGAAGGGGGGGATAACAACCTGAGAAGACCCCTTTCTTTTTCTCAGTCTCCTTGGCCTCCCTTTCTTATCTTGCTCCCTATCTATTGCCTTCTCCTTTGATAACAGCCTTCCCCCTGTCACTGAATTTCCCCAGGCATTCTACCTTCCTTAGCCCTACCCTCTGATCTGCCCAGCCAGCACTGCTGGCTACTATCTGCCACAATTAAGAGCTGGTGTCTGCAAAATGCTGGATGTGCATAGCAGTATGTAGCAGCACACCTTACATTAGATCGTGTTTAACAGCACACTTTATGTTAGATCACTTAGATGTTGCTCTTATTGAAGTTTATTTATTTTATGCACATGAGTGCTCTGTCTGCTTCTATGTTTGCATGGGCCCTGTGTGCAAGCCCAGTGCTCACAGACGTCGAAAGAGGGCATCCGATTCCCTGGAACTGGAGGAACTGCAGTTACAGGCAGCTGTGAGCCACCATGTGGGTGCTGAGAATAAACTGTGACCGCCTGTGAGAGCAGCTGGTGCTACTCAGCCATCTCTCTCCAATTCTTTTTTAAAATTAAGGAACCTGATTTTTGCTTTCAGACACCCTCTCAAGGTATGTATGTACAAAGTAGTTTAAACAATTTTGAACTATCTTATTCTTTGTTGATATAGCTTCCTCCTCTCTCCCCCTCCCTCCCCCAGCTATCCTGGCTACTAAACCTAGGGCCTCAAGCATTCTGGGCAAACATTCTACCAATGAGTTACATCTGGAATCATCAAGTGTGTGTGTGTGTGTGTGTGTGTGTGTGTGTGTGTGTGTGTGTGTGTGTGTGTGTGTATGTGTGTGTTAGATGTGCTCACACATTTGTGGGTGTGTGGAAGCCTAAAATTGGTGCCAAGTGTCTTTGATTACTTGCCATTTTATTAGCTAAGCAAGGTCTCTCTCTGAGCCAAGTTCAGTGAGTCTAACTAGCCAGCTTGCCTTGGAGATCTTCGTCTCTGCCTTTTGAGTACTGGGATGCAGGCAGCCTCCATTCCTGCCTAGATTTCAGATGCATCTTGGGATCTGGACTTCACAGTCACAGAGTCAGCACTTTATCCTTGATGCCATCCCCTCATCCCTTTGGCCATCTTTTCAGAAACATTTTATTTATTAAAATCTGGTAAGCCTTTCTTTAAGTTATGACATTAACATCATGACTGCTTATATAAACAATAAGTAGAGACAGTGCTAATTTGTCCAAATTTTAATTTCATTAGAAGTTGGGTGGCACACATCTGTAATCTCAGTATGTGGAAGGCTGAGCTAGGACTATCACCATGAGCTTGAAGCCAACCTGGGCTACATATGGAGTTCCAAGACAACATGGACTACAGAATGAGACATTATCTCAAAACAAACAACCAAAAACCCAAATATAAAAATATACTTCATTAGAAGAAAGACACCTAATACTTGACAGTCCTCTAATGAGAGGTAGAGTGTAATGAACATTCTTCCCGCCAGCCTAGGCCCAGAGCCACGTCAATCCCAAATAACACACAGAGATTCTATTAGTTACAATGTTGTCGACCAGTGTCTGGGGCTTCTCATTGCCTAGTTCTGTCTTAAGCATTACCCATAACTACACACACACACACACACACACACACACACACACACACACACACACACACACATTTCTATAAGGTCTTACTTACTGAGGACGCCAGCCTCATGCGTCCTCTCTTCCCGGGATCACATGGCGACTATCTGCCCTTGACCACATTTCCCAGACTCACAGATCACAATATCTGACTTTCATCTAGCCACCTGACAAACCCATTGTTCCCATCAACAGGGAGAACGGTCCTCTGGACACCTCAGCTCTGTTAAACATGGCCTCTTTATCTCCATGCGCAGTGTGAATGAGAAATGAAGGACTTAAGCTGTGCCCAGGACCGCAAGGACCAAAGCTGCCACAGCTGAGGAATGAGGTGCCCCATGTCAGTCAACCTTTTGGTGATACGACAACCCACCTGAACAAGTAACACAGGCAAGAAAACATTGGAATGCCGGAGAAGGACACAGAAGGACCAAGCCATACCCTTCAAGGACTCCCTCCAGTGACCACACCCACCAGCGAGGCTCCACTTTCCTTAATTCACCACTTTCCCATCATCCACTCAAGTTTTGGATCCATCGGTGGACTAAGCCATCTCAGGCATCACCCCAACAGACCACACACAGGTGTGTTTTACTAATCTGAGTGTCTCCAATACAGTTAACAGACTAACCATCGAGGACCCTCCCTCTGTTTCCATCTGCCTGTCCTTCCCACTCATGGACAGGACAGTCTTCATTTCACACTGAGCTGAGAGCTACAGAAATAACTGCCAATCATTTTTCACTGCAGCCAATTTCCCAACGTGATGTCCACCATAGCCCCTCCTAATTCGGTGGGCTTTTAAATATGAAAGGATGAATTTTACTTCAGGTCAGTCAGTTCTGTGATCTCTGCTACGACAAGAAATGATCTCAAAGGCTGAGCCAATTTATGCTCTAAGTTATCTGTGCTCTATTTCATTTTATTCTCTTGTTCATATAAGCAGCCCCAGGTTCTACATTAGATAAGGCCACCTACATATAAGTATAACTTGTCTGACTCGGTATAAAATTTAACCTCTTCAACATTGATAAATACTTGTTTTGTAGCCAATTTGTCTATAACTTTAAACTTGCATTCCTTTTTCACATTATTGCTCAATGTTCGTATCTTTCTGCTCTTTGTCAACCAGAAATTTGACTAAGATATGGATATTATGCCACAATGTGGATATTATGCTTTCTCAAATTTCCACCAAACAAATTATCTTACTTTTGAATTTGGTCTCACACAAATTTTCAGATCTTTTCCCAGAATAGCCTAGTTCCTGATAGATTCCTGGTTTCTGCTGTAAACCCTCACAAACTTAATCTTTCATTGGGCATTCTTGTGTTCTGAACACCACCAGAAAGCTCCAGTGTAAGTTTACAACACTCTAGTTCTGCTTTATCCCTCAACTCTAGACATTGCTGCATTCTCTCAGAAAAAACATCCCCCAAGGTCTAAGAGCCACATGGTCAGTGTTAGCCATAATTACTGCTCTCATTTTCATTATCAGTTTTCCTTATTTGGTACAGCGCTCATTTCTGTGACCAAATGGCAGCCAAGAAGCAACTTGAGGGACGAAGTATGTAATTTGGCTCGCAGTTTGAGAGGACACAGTTAGTGGTGGTGGAGAAAGCGTGGCAGTAGGTAGGTCCACAGCAGGGGAGCATGTATCTGGGACTCCTTACTGCCCCATATCTTGGTGGAACAGGAAACAGAGAGATCAAGGGTGATTTTAAGCAGACATAGTTTTGCTGACTTCCTTAGTCCATCAGTCACACCTGTGTATGTCTATATTACAACTTCAGACTCTACAATCTCATGCAAAATAAATGGTCTAAGTAGGCAAAGAGCAGGGAGCTTGTAGGTGGAGTTTTCCTGTCCCCACTGCCTGCTCCCAAATAATTAGGAAGAGACTTAATACAAATAATAAATGCTCAGTCAATAGCTCAGGCTTATTATTAACTAGCTCTTGTAA